ACCCCACCCCCAGGGAACCCACCCCGCCCACAGCAGCGCCATGCACCCCACACGAAGGTGCCACACCAGCTGTGTCCCCACAGGGCTCTCCCCACTCGGCACGGCCACCTGCTGCCACGCAGGGACCTTGGTCCTCGGGGTCCCTCAGACCCACACGCTATAAAATGCCCCAGAGCAGGACACGGAAAGGAAGGGACTTTCCCCAGGTCAATGCTGTCCCACAACCCCTCCCGCGAGTAAATAAGGGGCAGGGGCACACGGAGGCCCAGCTGTGCACGGGACGGACGGCCCGGCCGTGGAAAGCCCGGCCTGTCCCAGAAGCTTGGCCCTCACTGCAGCAGCATCCCCGGGGCTGTGGTGAGTGCAGCTCCTTGTCCAAGACACCGAGGTGCAGGTGTCAACCTCCCAGAGACCAGGGTTATCCAGACAAGAGCCTCAGCCACAGCCTCAGCCTCAACCACAGCCTCAGCCACAGCCTCAGCCTCAGCCACAGCCTTAGCCTCAGCCCCAGCCTCAGCCACAAACTCACAGAATGTGGCTGAGGCTGTGGCTAATCTCTGGGGGTGTGGGGGGGGGGAGCAGCTCCCATGGTCCTCGATTCTTTCACTCATGGTCACGAGAGCGGCGGCCGTATGTTTCTAACCCTCACGTCGCCGGGAATTAAAGACTGACTGAGCCTGTGGAGGGGACCCACTGCACATGCCGGCCAGCCCCTCCGCTCTGCCCTCCGTTACCCTGAAGTCGCAGATGAGCCCCCCTCTCCATTCCACTCGCAGGGGCAGGAGGGGAACAGGCACTTTAAGCAAATTTGGGGGAGGTGCCCATGTCCCATGTCCCGTGTCCTATATGGGGGGAGCAGCTCCCATGGTCCTCGATTCTTTCACTCGTGGATACGAGAGCGGCGGCCCCATGTTTCTAACCCTCACGTCGCCGGATATTAAAGACTGAGCCTGTGGAGGGGACCCACTGCACACGCCGGCCGGCCCCTCCGCTCTGCCCTTCGTTGCCCCGAAGTCACAGACGAGCCTCCCTCTCCATTCCACTCGCAGGGGCAGGAGGGGAACAGGCGCTTTAAGCAAATCGGGGGGCAGTGCCCATGTCCCGTGTCCCGTGTCCCGTGTCCCGTGTCCCGTGTCCCGTGTGCGTGACGGGAGCCTCAGTTACTCTGTGTGCTTGTCGGGGGCCCTCCAGCGAGGAGCTGGGCCCAGGGAGGAAGAAGTCTAACCTGATGCTCACAGGCGCCTCTCAAAGTGCAGCGATGCAGGCCCCTCCGTCCGAGAGCAGCGGGACAGCTTTGCGAGGAGACAAAAGCTCCAACTAG